TTATCTACTAGTCCGTAGGGTATGTGCCCCCTGAGACTCTGAAAGCTGTGGATAGGTTTAAAGCTCAGCTTCAGGGCTTGGGAGCTGGGTGAATGGGGGCAACTTTCTTTCCTTTGCTGGGCTTTTTTGTCTACGTGTAAATTGGGGCCCATGCCTGAGGCCCCCTCCTGGGGTTTTTAAGGCTCAGTGTGGTGCAGCGGGTAGAAGGCCTGGCACAGAGTATGGCACTTAGGACATGTTCCACACGTTTTATTATGAGGGTTCCACCTGCAACTGTGGGAGGCCCGTCCAGACTGAGGCAGGGGCTTGCTCTCTTCAGCCCAGTCCATGCACCGGGTTCCAGGCTGGGTACAGAGGGGCACAAATCTCTTCTGCAAGGAGAGACACTCAGGTAGGGCCTGCCTAGCCAGGGGTCTATTAGGGGATCCCAGAAGCTGAGAGGGAACTAGAGAAGGACAGGAGGGCCGGGGATGAGGCTCTTGGGCTGAGGGGATGCCTAGAACAAAGGCACAGAGATGGGGGTCCTTCCCCTTGAAGAGGAGGGATGTTTAGGGGAACATGAGCCAAGAGGCTGGAAGGGGGTCTGAGGCCAGGCTGAGAAGGCCCGGGAAACCATGATGACAATGAGGGGTCACGGTGGGTGTGGGGCAGGAACGGGCAGGGGGCAGCAGCCCCTGGGGGAGCAAGCTGCAGGAAGGGGGAACTATGGACCAGACCCGAGACAGGGTGGATGGGAAGGAGGAGAGGAAATAAGGTGAGAGAGACGTGGCCTGGGCCTTGAATTAGAGAGTGAGGAAGATGGGGGAAGCTAGAGGTGAGCTGGGTATGGAATGCGGTGAGCCTCTAGGCCCAGGAAGGGCGGGACCAAGAGCCTGGGCAGAGTTGGGAGCCACACCACGAGCTGGGCACAGCCTCCAGGGGACAGACAGCAGCTGGAGCCAGGGAAGGCAGGGCAGGGTGGGCGGTGGGGGGGAAGTGAGAGGCAGGGAGGACGTCTGTGTGCCAAATGCTGTCGTATGCCTGTGGGTACAGGGCACTAAACCACACATCTTGGGGTGTCTGGGTGGCTCAGTTGGTTAAGTGTCTGCCTTTGGCTCAAGTCATGATCCCAGGGTCCTGGGATCGATTCCCACGTCTAGCTCCCTGCTCAGAAAAGAGCCTGCTCTTCCCTCTCTCCCTCCCCCCACCCTCGTTTTCTCTCTCTCTCTCTCTCAAATAAAGGGATAAAATCTTAAAAAAACAAAAACAAAACAAAACAAAACACACACACACACACATCTGGGAGCTATTTGGCCTGGTGGGGGCTGGGGTAGAGGTGCTGTGAGCTGACCCCTGCTGTGTGAGATCTTCCCATGTCTACCAGATGTTGTCATCTGTGCCAGGCTCTGGGTTCCACAGCTGAGTGAGGTACAGGCAGTACAGGGGGGATCGGGAGGGGGGTGCCCAGTCCCTGGACAGTGAGCCTGACCAGACAAGAGAGGCTGACGTCCCAAGGAGGTTGAGTGGCACCTGGCCAGTGTAAGAGGCAATGGGAGAAGGGTGTTTCAGCAGCAGTAGCAGAACAGCAAGTGCTAAGGTCCTGAGGTGCACAAGAGGCAGCTAAGTTCTGGGAAATGAAACTAGATCAGAGTGACCAGAAGAAGAGAGCAGTAGGAGGTGGGGAGACAGAGCGGGAAGGGCAGAGAAGGGTGGGAAGAGGTCGCTGCCTCATGGGCACACTAGGAGTGAGGTTTATCAGGAGAGGTGAGGAGGGGCGCTGGGAGCCGGAGGCTAGTGGGGAGGCTGGGACTGCAGTCGGGGTTGGAGCAAGCACACCACGGTGTTGAGAGCTAGCAGAGGAGCTCGGCGAGGGGTCTGCACAGGGGAGGCTCTTGAGTCCAGCTGAGTTTGGAGAGGAGATGCACTACCCTCAAGGCCCAAGTATCTGAAAGAAGTGGGGTGCGGTGTCCAGCCCTCCCTAGCCCCTGCCCAGTTGGGGGGCTAGCCCCCTGGGTGCTCAGGCAGGGAAGATGGGCGGCCCCTCCCACCAGAGTCTCGGCAACAGGGCAGAGTGAAGGCACGGGCTGGGTGTTGGGGTATGTGGGCCTCTGGGGCCCCCCAGGCCTGCTGTGGGTACCTGGCTTTCCCACAAAAGTCTGAGTCAGCACCACCGTGGCTGCCTAGAGGCTCCAGCCTTCCCCCGCCCCCTCCCCACCGCCCCAGCCACTTGGGAGAGTCATTTCATTTCTCAAATTAAAAATCCATTTTGTGCTGTGAATAATAGATGGGATGAGCACTGGGAGGCTGGGCAGAGGACAGGAAGTGGGTTGGGGGTGTTTTCCAGGACACCGAGGAGACTGCAGGATGGACTGCGGAGTGGGGTGGGAGCTAGGTGGGCAGGGTGAAGGCTGGGGGCATGCCACCCTCCATCCCAGAGCCGAGGCAGGACGAGGACCCCCTTCAGCCACCATGGGGCTCCTAGGCCTGCCTGCTGGAGTGGCAGGCAAATGGGACCCTGGCCTATCCCCACTTATGTGTAAGCCAGAGGGGGTGCCGAGAAGGTTCTGGCTTCAGGTAGGCGGCCCCCTTTGGAGGGACATGTTAAGAGCTTCGCTTGCTAAAAGGTCTACAGACATGTCATTGGTGTGAGAACTATTGTCCCAGCAAGGGGGTCTGCTTTTTGTCCCTTCCCCAGAACCCAGACCTGGTGACACCTCACCCAGGAGGGGTAGGCTGGGATCTGGCCCAGGGCCAGGCCCTCCAGCTGGGTGCCCAGTAGCCTGGCTCAGGGCTTGGCTGGGTGTTGCCGCTGTCCTGAGTCCCGTCATTCTCTTTTTCCTCAGTCAGGGGGTCACCTTGACAAGCAGGGGCGGGGTGGAGGAACACTGGAACTGGATGTCTCCAAGAGAACACAGGAGCTGCGTTCAGCTTCTCTTTCCTGAGAAGGAAGGTGCAAAGGACCTGGTCACTCTTCACTGGCAAACTGTCTAGGGGGTCTAGGTCCCCCTCGTGGGCCTGATCCCCAGGCCACTTTGGTGGGCTCTGGTTACCGTGCTCAGGATTGGGGTTGTCCTGGAAGCCTCCGGGGCTGGCTGTTGCAGGGTGAGGTGCTGTACAGAGTCCGCAAGATAGAGTGAGGCAGGCAGGTAGAGTAGCCTGGCTGAGACTGGGGAGGCAGAAGACCAGATCGATGATGGCTGAGAGCATGGAAGAGGAATGGCCAGGCGGGGGTCCAGCAGCTGACCTGGGAGGGAGGAGGTGCTGAGGGCTTGGGTCCCCCACCCCCTAGTGGCTGGAAAGGCAGGGTCCCCAGGGAGAAATGTTTGCCTTTGTGCCTTTCTGTCAGAGGAGCATGGGCTCCCTGAGACAATATCCATTTTTATATTTCTTGGAAATTTCACGGCATTCATTTCAGGGAAAATAAAAGCTGTCATTGCTGGAGAAATGATACCAATCAGGGCCTGAAAAGGCTGGAAAATTATCCTCCTGGAGATGGAACGTTGAGGGAAAAAATGCAGATTAAAAGCACAAAGAGCCACTTTGCCACTGCCCTGCCCTCCCCTCCTCCCTTACAGAATCGCCACACTTTACATAATTCCACCTCTCCTCCGTGGAATTAATTGGACCCAAGAAGAATGTGTGGGGCAGAGGAGGACCCTGAAATGGCTGGAGGCGGAGGCAGAGAGGACCTAGAGTGGTGCTGTATAGACCGACAGGTGGAGAGACATGGGAGGGAAGCAGAGGTGGCCACTCGGGGCCAGGCTGCTGAAAAGCCCCAGGAAGGGGACAGGGTGATGGGGCCTTTGAGCCCTTGCCTTGTGGTTTTTATGAGCTGGGGTTCCACTGCAGCCTTGGGCTGCCTCATTGTCTAGCCCAGTCAGATAGGCTAGAATGGGCAGGTCTGGGAGCACTGGTGCCTTGGGAGGCCCCCTGCTGGGGACATGGGAAGAGGAGAGGATGGGGAGGGCAAGACCAAGAGAGCAGAGACTCCAGAAACAGTAGCATTGCCCCCATGGCCAGGCCCTGTGGGGTTACAGTGGTGAGTTGGGGGGCAGGTGGGCCCTGCCTCAGGGGCTGGAGGCTGTGGGGGGGGTCCCACATTCAGAAAGCAAGTTGTATGGGAAGGTCCCACATTCAGAGACCCCCACCCCCACCCCATCCCCAGCCTGTGACGTCCATCAGTCCATACAGCAGGGGCCTGAGGCCTGCGCTCTGTCTGAGGACTAGGGCTGGGCTGGCAGGCACCCTCCTTCTCTCTCTCCCTCCCTCCCTCCCTCCCTCCTGGTCCCCAGCGGGGAGGGGCTCTTGCATTACTCCTCAGTTCTTTTCTCTCTTCCTGGCCAGGGGCTTCCGGAGCAGTGGGGGCTGAGGCCGGCTGAGGTTTGGGGGAAGGGTGCAGTCTCAGCCCTGAGGCCCCCACCTCGTGCAGTAGCCCCCAAGCAGGGTGAAGGCTGCCTGGCCAACCACAGCCCCAGACGCCCTCTCGGGAAGACTGGGTAAGGGCAGGGGCTAAAGGGGGTGGGGGTGGGACCAGAAAGCCCACGTATTGAAGGCTGCTCTGTGCCAGGCGCCGTGCCAGGAGCGTCCAGACGTATTTCAGGACACCCCATAGCCTTGCTGGGAGTCTTCCCTGGGCGGTGCTCCAGTCCTGTGGGCTCCTCTGGGATAATCCACGCGCCTCCTCAGCTCCAGCTTGAGCCCTTTTCAGGCGGGCCTGGTAGGCGGCCCCAAGTGGGGGCATCAAATCAGTAGGGGAACCCTTTTCCGGGAGTAGCAGGCGCCCTCACTCTTCCCGGGACGCAGTTGTACCTGGAATTCCCGATCCCGGAGCCTGTGCCAGCCCCTCGGGAGCGGGTCCCGCAGCCGCCGTCCCCGCCCCCGAGCTGCCAGGTAGCCGGGATGATGGGTGGAAGAAGGAGGGGGCGCGGGGGGCGGGCGGAGGAGGGTGGAGCCGCCGGCGCGCCCCCTCCCTCGGGGCCGGCGGGCGGCGCGGCGCGGCGGCAGAGGAGGCGGCGGGCGCACGGAGAGAGCTCCCGCCCGCCCGGCTCCGCTCCAGCTCCAGCTCCGGCTCCGGCCCGGGCTCGACCCGCTCAGTTCCCGCTCGGCCCCGGCGCGCACCTGCCGGGTGAGTGGCATCCGAGTCCGCTGCCACCGCGGCCACCATCGCAGCCACATCCGCCGCCGCCACGGCGCCGAGCCTCCGGGCTTTGTCTGCGTCCCCGCAGCTGCGACTCCCGGCGCTCCGCTCTCCGCGGACTGCGAGGCGAGGCGCGGGAGACGCAGCGCCGGGAGCCCGGGACTCACGGGGCCAGCTCGCTGCGCGCCGGGGGTGAAACTTCGCTCAAGTTTGGGTTCCGGGGAAAACCTGTTGAAGCCGGGAGTGGCCCAGGGCAGGGGCGGACGGGCGGAGGGGCGGAGGGACGGAGGACGGAACCCGTTCCAGGTTCTTAGGGCCGTCGTGGTTTTCTTCCTGATCCCGGGCGGGATGGAGCGCGCCGCTTGGGAAAGAGGGGGTGGGGCGGGTGGGTATTCTGGCCATTGAATACGAGACAGGGCTGGGGGTGGACATCCTCGAGGACAAAGTTTGGTTCTTCAGCCCGCTTTCCTGTGCGTCTTGTTCCAGTGCGGCTTCTGGGTTGGCGTACACTCGCCCTTGACCGCACCTCCTTTCTCCGGCCTCTGGCTTCCCCCTCCCCCATCTGGTCTTGGCTGTAGCAGGTCATAGACGAGAAAGGCAATGGGAAGAGAAACAGTCTTTTATTGAGGGCCTACTGTGTGCCAAGCCCGTGCATGGTGCTCCCCTACTTTATGTCAGGGGCCTCCCAAGTATGCGGCAGGCATCTGTGTGCAGGGAGAGAGGAGGCAGGTTAAAGGACGCTACTGTGCGTGAGGGAGCTGGTGGCCATCTGAGCCTTCCCCTGGCCTCATTCTCAGAGTGGCTGAGGGAGGCCAGGCCTCAGGCTCGCTCACTGTTGGAAACACGGGGTGGCCTCCAGCCTCCGAACCTAGGCCTGCGCCCCTCCTCCTCGTGCTGGTGGGGCCCGTCGGGCCCCAGAGTCTCTCTAAACACGCGTCTAACCTTCCAGCAGCTGCGGCCTGGGAGCCATGCGGAGACCCTCCAGGAGGCCCGCGGCCCGGTGCAACGTGTAGCTGAGATCGCCAAGGGCTGCGCAGCGGGGCCAGCGGCACCATGGAGACCCCATATTCGATGTCTGCGCACTACGACGAGTTCCAGGAGGTCAAATACGTGAGCCGCTGCGGCACCGGAGGGGCACGCGGGGCCTCGCTGCCCCCTGGCTTCCCGCTGGCCGCGGGGCGCAGCAGCACAGGGGCCCGGGCGGGGCTGCCTCGCTGGAACCGGCGCGAGGTGTGCCTGCTGTCGGGGCTGGTGTTCGCCGCCGGCCTCTGCGCCATCCTGGCCGCCATGCTGGCGCTCAAGTACCTGGGCCCCGGCGCCGCAGGCGGCGGCGGGGGCGCCTGCTCCGAGGGCTGCCCCGAGCGCAAGGCCTTCGCGCGCGCCGCGCGCTTCCTGGCAGCCAACCTGGACGCCAGCATAGATCCGTGCCAGGACTTCTACTCCTTCGCATGCGGGGGCTGGCTGCGGCGCCATGCCATCCCCGACGACAAGCTCACCTATGGCACCATCGCGGCCATCGGCGAGCAGAACGAGGAGCGCCTAAGGCGTCTGCTTGCGCGGCCCGGGGGTGGGCCGGGGGGGGCCGCCCAGCGCAAGGTGCGGGCCTTCTTCCGCTCGTGCCTCGACATGCGCGAGATCGAGCGGCTTGGTCCGCGGCCCATGCTCGAAGTCATCGAGGACTGCGGGGGCTGGGACCTGGGCGGCGCCGCTGAGCGCCCCGGGGCCGCAGCGCTCTGGGACCTCAACCGGCTGCTGTACAAGGCCCAGGGCGTGTACAGCGCGGCCGCGCTCTTCTCGCTCACCGTCAGCCTGGACGACAGGAACTCCTCGCGCTACGTCATCCGCGTGAGTGCGTCCCCCTCCCCAGTTACCCGCCGCGGGTGGGGGGGCGCCGGGACCCGGGACGCGGCGGCCCCGCACGCGCGGCCCCCGCGCAAGGAGACCGGTGCAGAAGGGGAAGGGAAGGGAGGGGAGCGCGCACCGGCAGAGCGCGGGAGGAGGGCGCAAGTAATTTCCCTCGAGTAATTACGGTGTTTAGTGGAGCTGCGGGAGCCGCAATTTGCCAGTCCTGTGGCAGGCTGTGAGAGCACAGACCGAGGGGTGTGCCGGTGGGCTGGGGCGGGCCAGAATGCCCTGGGCCCCAGCTCTCGGGTGAGGGGTGGCCCGCAAGTGCCCTTCATATGTGGGGAAGGTGAAGGCTGGCGGGAGGAAGGATGAGGGCACGGGCTAGGCTGGGGAGGGGTGGGGGTTTCTACCAGCTTCTCCGGATGAAGAGGTAGTGTCTTCGTGCTCCTGGGGCTTGTGTCAGTGGCTATCTGGCCCGTCCTCTGGTCAGTCTGTTTGCAGGAACCTGGCACGTTGATCTCTGACCTCTGATCCCATCCTTCTCCCCAGATTGACCAGGATGGGCTCACTCTGCCCGAGAGGACCCTGTACTTAGCTCAGGATGAGGAGAGTGAGAAGGTGTGGGGACCTGGGATGGGATGGCAGGGACGGCGTGGGGCTCCGGGAGGGTGGGACTAGGGCCTGACACTGCCCCCACCCTTGAACTGTCCCCTCTTGGTGCAGATCCTGGCAGCATACCGGGTGTTCATGGAGCGCCTGCTCAGCCTGTTGGGGGCTGAGGCTGTGGAGCAGAAGGCAGCAGAGATCCTGCAGCTGGAGCAGCGGCTGGCCAACGTGAGGGAGGGGGCGGGGGTCGGCTGTGGACTGAGGGGAGGGGGCCCGGAGGCAGGTCTGGGTCAACACTCGCCTTCACCTCCAGATCACAGTGTCGGAGTACGATGAGCTCCGGCGAGATGTCAGTTCCACGTACAACAAGGTGACGCTGGGAGAGCTGCAGAAGATCACCCCCCATGTGAGTGCAGCCCATGCTGGGAGGTGCTGATCCTGGGGCTCCCGGGCCATCCCTTTCCCAGGGCCATGGACGGGCTCCTGTGTCCGCCTTGCCTCTCCCGGACTCCCTTCCTGTCCTCTGTGGTCCCTGCCACACCCAGCCCTACTGTCCCACTGCCCGCTTGCCCCATGACAGCTGCAGTGGAAGTGGCTGCTGGACCAGATCTTCCAGGAGGACTTCTCGGAGGATGAGGAGGTGGTGCTGTTGGCCACAGACTACATGCAGCAGGTGTCCCAGCTCATTCACTCCACACCCCGCAGGTACCGCTGCCAGTCACCCAACCCTGTCCCCCTGCCACTCCAGGCCCCCTCCCCTGCCCCCCACCCCTGTCTGCTGGGTGAGCTCTGAATTCCCGCTTCCACTTCTGTCCAGTAGCCACTCGGTGGCAGGTTAAGAGCACTGGAATAGGAGTCCAGATTCCCAGGTTCAGACGTGGCTCTCAGCAGCTCCCTGGGACCCTGGGCTGGGCTTGTGGGCTGCCCAAGCTGCAGCTTTCTCCTTGGGGAATAGTGAGGCTGAGTGAGCCCAGATCTCAGAAAGGGAAACTGGGACCATAGCCTTGCCACCCCAGCCATCCAGGGGGTAGTCTCCCTGGTGTCTGGCCTCCCTGGGGACGAGCAGAGGCCTCCTAAGGCCAGGCTTGAGGCAAACAGTCACCTTAAGCACTCCACAGCAAAAGCATCTGGTACTCCGTGGGAGGGGGAGCCGGAGGCACATCCTGTGTGGGGGTCCAGCCCTTTTCACTGTCAGGGCTCAGGCCTCCCCAGGTTCCACCTCCATGCACTGGGATGACCTTCACTCATGTGTGGGTGCTAGGTGTCACCCCAGGGGGGTGGGGGTGCCCTTGGGTGGCCCTGGCATGGGGGCATGTCTGGACACCCAGAGGTCTTGCGTGGCCCTCAGGATCCTGCACAACTACCTGGTGTGGCGTGTAGTCGTGGTCCTGAGTGAGCACCTGTCACCGCCATTCCGTGAGGCACTGCATGAGCTGGCCCGCGAGATGGAGGGCAGTGACAAGCCACAGGAGCTGGCCCGTGTCTGCCTGGGCCAGGCCAACCGCCACTTTGGCATGGCACTCGGAGCCCTCTTTGTACACGAGCACTTCTCAGCTGCCAGCAAGGCCAAGGTCAGGCTGCCCTGGGCCTGGGGATTGGGTGCGGGTGCTGGGCTGAGCATTAAGTCCTCCCATGGCCTCAGTCTGAGAATAGGGAGCCCCACATATCCCCCTGCAACAGGGCCTCAGCCTTTCTCTGGGGCTCCAGACTACCTCTCACCTGGCCACCTCCCCCAGAAAGCCTACCTGGTCTACCCACCACAGGAAGACTTCCCCCTCAGGCTCCTGCCCATCTTTCTCTGCCACGCTCAATACGCATGGCCTTGGGAATGCGTGGTCCTTGCTGGGGTGGTTTGCTTCCAGATTGTGAGTTTCTCCTTGGGTGCAGGGCCTGGATCTCCACCTCCGAGGTGTCCCCTCGGCGCTCAGCACCAAGCTTTTAGGCCGAGGAAGTGATACTGAATTAGTGGTACCCCACATGCCACTTGCCAGGGGGCCCAGAGCTAAGGCCCCCGGGGTGGACCCCTGATCCCTGGCCCCGACTCTTCAGGTGCAGCAGCTTGTGGAAGACGTCAAGTACATCTTGGGACGGCGCCTGGAGGAGCTGGACTGGATGGATGCCGAGACCAAGGCAGCTGCTCGGGCCAAGGTGCAGTGGACCCTGTCCCCATTTGTAGGTTCCACAAACATTTATTGAATGCCAGCTGTATGCCAGATGAGGGTGACTGAAGAGACAAGATGCCCCTTGTGGAGTTGGCATCAGCCGGTCTAGTCTCCTCTGTCCTTGAGCCCCACCTGGGGGCTGGGCCCAGAGATTTCTCCCTTGGGACGGTGGGGGCTGTCCCCTGAGACCTTGGCCCACTCTGGCCGCCGCCATCTTGCCCGCAGCTCCAGTACATGATGGTGATGGTGGGCTACCCGGACTTCCTGCTCAAACCAGAGGCTGTGGACAAGGAGTACGAGGTGGGTCTTTGCCTGGCCCTGCCTTGCCCAACCGGGGGTGGCTTCGGACCCTTGGTCAAGACCCCCCTGGTGGTTCACCATCCCGACGGAGGAGGAGCCACGGCCCTCAGCTGAGGGCCCCTTGGAGGACATGGGGCTGGCTCCACACAGTCCGGCCAGGCCCCTCGCCCGCTGTTGAGCGCTGCCCATCCCCCATGCAGTTTGAGGTCCACGAGAAGACCTACTTCAAGAACATCTTGAACAGCATCAGGTTCAGCATCCAGCTCTCAGTCAAGAAGATCCGGCAGGAGGTGGACAAGTCCACGTGGGTGCCTGGCCCCGAGCTGGGGGAGCCGGGGAGGGAGGTGCCTTGGGGAGAGGCTCCTTCCCAAGGCCGGGAGGCTGGTAGGGCACATGGGAGGCTGGTAGGGCACACGGCCTCACAGCCATGCTGGTGCAGGTGGTGGGAGAGGCATTGGGGGGCGGGGTGCTCAGCCTAGGGGAGGCACAGGGCGTGGCTACAGGCTGGGCCACGCCTTTAAGGAGGAGCCAGTTGGGAGGTGGTGGTGGGGCCTCCCTTGCTCACCCCACCTCCCTCCACAGATGGCTGCTCCCGCCGCAGGCCCTGAATGCCTATTACCTACCTAACAAGAACCAGATGGGTAAGGGGCCGTGTCCCGCAAGGGGGCCCTGGCGGAGGTGGGCGGGTCTCTTGCTGACCCCGCCCTCTTTGCAGTGTTCCCCGCAGGCATTCTGCAGCCCACGCTCTATGATCCTGACTTTCCACAGTGAGTACCCAAGCTGGCACAAGCCAGAGCCGGCACTGCTGTCTTGTCTGCTGGGTGCATGAAAGCTGCTCAGAGTGTCCTGACCCGGGCTGGGCCCCGCAGTCATGACAGCGACAGATCCTGGGTCCCCATTGTCCTACCTCAGCCTTGGGTATTTAGAAAAATGTGTAGCTTTTTTTCCCCTCCTTTCTTTTATTTATTTTAAAAGATTTTTTTAAAAAAGATTTTATTTGACAGAGAGAGACACAAGGAGAGAGGGAACACAAGCAGGGGGAGGGGCAGAGGGAGAAGCAGGCTCCCACTGAGCAGGGAGCCTAATGGCAGGCTGGATCCCAGGACCTTGGGATCATGACCTGATCTGAAGGCAGACGCTTAGCCGACTGAGCCACCCAGGTGCCCTTCTTTCTTTTAAAGGTCCTGAGTTCCCCCTTACCTGGTTTGAGGCTCCTTTAGGTGTTTCAAAAGTGAAGTGAGACCCTAGTGATGAAGAAACAGGTCTAATCCCACATGGGGTGCCTCAGTTTCCCTCATATCTTCCTCCAATCCGGTCTCTTCCCCCATCCCAGCGCTGTTAGATGTGATTTCCTAAAAAAGCAGCTGCAAAGGTATCATTGGTCCCTTTTACATATTGTGTGAGCACCCTGAGGCATGAGTGTCCCAAGACTCTGAGGACTCCAGCATGGCCTCCTTGGGCCACCTTTGGCCTTTATGGGGGCCTCCTGGGGCCTGGGCAGCAGCACATAGCTCCCAGAGGGTGGGTGAGGCTGGAGCCTGACGCTGCTGCCATGGGCCCAGGTCTCTGAACTACGGGGGCATTGGCACCATCATCGGACATGAGCTGACCCATGGCTACGACGACTGGGGTGAGGCCAGGGGATGTTGTGGGAGGGGAAGGAGAGGTGGTGGGGGCAGGGCACTGATGGGCTGGGTTGGGGAGGGGGCTCTGGGGCTGAAAATCGGTGCCGCCCCTCTGCCCATGGCCCACAGGGGGCCAGTATGACCGCTCGGGCAACCTGCTGCACTGGTGGACAGAGGCCTCCTACAGCCGCTTCTTGCGCAAGGCGGAGTGCATCGTCCACCTGTACGACAATTTCACAGTCTACAACCAGCGGGTGAGAGCCCCCTGCTGCCCCTGAGGCCCAGCTGGGCACAGATGAGCATGAACATCTGCCTGCACACACGTGTGCCAGGTCCCCGTGCACATGCCTGGGGTCTGCATAGTCATTCACTCAGGCATGTGAACAAGTTCACATGGACTCATGGGACATGAGGTGCAAAGGGGTCAGAGTCCCATCGAAATTCTCTGGGAAAGGGAGAGAGAGTGGGGGCCGGGGCCCAGGGCAGCAAGGCCTGAGGAGGGTCAGTGCGCCACAGACAGCCCCTGGCCTCTTCCCTTCTCGGCAGGTGAACGGGAAGCACACCCTTGGTGAGAACATCGCAGACATGGGTGGCCTCAAGCTGGCCTATTATGTGAGCCGCCCCTGCCTGGCCCTTCATTCCCCAGGGAGAGGGTGGGGGCTGATAAGGACTTAGCTAGGGACATAGGCACCCCTGCCTCCCTTCCGCAGGGAGCTCTGGACTGGGAGGGGCGGGGCCTGTGACTTGCACAGGGTCCACTGGAAAAGGAGGGACTCCCAGGCTGCCTGCAGAGAGAGCAAGGAGGGCTGCCTGGAGGAGGCAAGGGCTGCCTGTGGTTAGCCCTCCCAGGAAGGAGCACAGCTCAGGGAAGGTGGAAGGCAGGGAACCTGGGACTCTGGACTGTGGACAGTAGGAGGAACAGGGGCTGGGGAGGGGCTGACTGGGTAGAGGGTGAGTCTTTCTCCACGCGGGGGGCACCGCAGCTCCACACTGTCACCCCCAGGCCTATCAGAAGTGGGTACGGGAGCACGGCCCGGAGCACCCACTGCACCGGCTCAAGTACACACACAACCAGCTCTTCTTCATTGCCTTTGCCCAGGTGGGGGCCGGGTGGGGGCCGGGTGGTCACTGGGCAGGGGTGGGGACATAGCTCTCAGCCTGTTTCCCACCAGCCAGGTGGAGACGATGACCCTGTGGGTTCGGAGAAGGGGGTAAGGCCTAGTGTGCTGGGGGGAAAGGCTGGCAGGCTCTGCTCAGCGGACCCCTCAGCTTCATCTTCCCCTCTCCTCCCATCCCCGACCCCGGGGCCCAGAACTGGTGCATCAAGCGACGGTCACAGTCCATCTACCTGCAGGTGCTGACGGACAAGCATGCCCCTGAGCACTACAGGTGCGCCCACCCGCTCGCTCTGGGGCTCCCCTCCCTGTGTCTGTGGTGAGAGCAGGTGGGAAGGGGGATGGGCAGCTGGGGGGTCGGGACCCCTGGGGACCCTCTCCAGGTGGGTGGGTCTCTTCTCTTGCCCCAGGGTACTGGGTAGCGTGTCCCAGTTCGAGGAGTTCGGCCGGGCCTTCCACTGCCCCAAGGACTCACCCATGAACCCAGCCCACAAGTGTTCAGTGTGGTGAGCCTGGCTGTCCGCCCGTCCTCACCACCTGCCCTGCACAAGTCGCCTCCCTGCCAGCTGCCGGGGCAGGCATGGACCCGGTGCCGGCCTGCTGTGGGTGCCACCCGCCTTCTCAGCCCCTCTGGGACCTGGCCTTCTTGCTGTCCTTTGCTTCAGGAGGGGCCTGGAGCAGGCATGACATTGGGCTCCAGGAGGGCGTCGGGCAGAGATGCTGGGGTCCCCAGCTTGGCTCTAAGGAGCCAGCCCATCCCCCAACACCGGCCAGGCCGGATCATACATGCCCCACCTTCACTGTGTTCTCGCTGCCAAGTCTGGTCAATAAAGTGCTGTACCATCGCCTCGGTTCCTTCAGGGGGTCCTAGAGCAGTGGGGCTGAAGGGGTCCCTTTGTGGGGAGGCTCAGGCCCTTTGCACAACAGGGACCCTGGATGAGACCTGTCTCTTCCCCCAACCACCTGTTCCTCCCTCCCCCACAGTCCTGTCAAGGCTCCTGTCCTGTTCTGGGGGTGCCCCCAGGCCAGACACCAAGCCAGTAGTCTGTACTCTCGTGTGACACTGGGACTCACTTCCGCTGAGTCTAGACACTGTGGGACCTTCTGCAGTGACTCTTAGCCAATCACGAGCCCAAGCCTTGGGCTCAACATGTCCGAGAGAGGAGGGCTGGGGGCTGAGGGCCAGTCCATGCAACATGAGTCACCCTCCAGTCTGGAGTGGAGGCTTCGGGGATGGGAGAGAGGAGCAGTCAGGGGCCGGTGCTGAGGCTCCAGGCCTGGCCTGTGGCAGGCCAGGGAAGAGGAAGGACGGCCCCATCGTGGACAGGAGGGTGGGGGTGCAGGGAGCAGCCACACTGGGTTATCCGAGGGATCCACAGTGAGGGGGGACTCCTCAGTGGTTTCTCTTCCTTCAGGGACAGCCTACAGCCCTCCAGCACCGCTCCATGGGCCCGTCCCCAGCTCCCCCTACTCTTGCGAGCCCAGCTCCTGTCAGGCTCAGAGTACATCTGTCCCCATCTCAGCCTTGAGTGACATTTAAAAAGTTCCTGTGAGCCTCAGGCAAAGCAACCTTGGGGAGTGAGAGCACAGGCGCCAGCGCTGATGGGGCTCTAGTATAAGGGGTGCTACGTGGCCCCAGGGGCAGGGGGGCTCTACAGAGAAGAGGCAGGAGCCTAGAAGAACCCCATGGGAACAGGCGAGCTTCCCAAGGGCTGGGCCTCTCCTTCAGGAGACTGGGGAGGCCGCAGTCCTCAGGACAGAGCTGTTCCTCAAGGGCAGAGGTGGGGCCCACAGGGACTGGGAGCCTGGTATAGGTGCGGTGTTTAGGAACTACCTTGGTTTCCCCTCAAAGCCCCTTTCCCTCTGTGGTGGGCACGTGTATGCCAGATCCCTCAGCTGCTGGTGCACTCCAATGTGCCTCTGGCCCCTGGTGCAGAAGCAAGTTCTCTCCTTGCCACCCACCGGGCAGGGCCTGGTGTCTGGGACCCTCTGTACCCTGCGCCACATCCCAGCCATCTACCGGGGATCCTGGCGGGAATCAGAGCTCCTGGGCCCAGCCCTTCTGCCTGCAGTGCCCTGGGGGCCCTCCCGGTTCCCCAGCTCCACCCAAGACAATCCCTCCTATCTCCCGTCCAGCTTGGAAGAAGTCTGGGGTGACAGTCCCGGGGATGCACTGCCAGCTGACCCACCAGGGTCACTTCCGCTCTGTCTCAGGACAGGGTGCCGTGAAGCCCTAGCGCCCCTGGGGATGAGTCTTCCTCCTTCCGTCTGGGCCCAGCTGAGGGGGCCAGAGGGGCTCGGGTGTGGGGTGAGGGTGGTGGTGGGCCCCTGGGAGAGGATAAAGTTTCCCGGCCTGGAGGCTGATCCAGCAGGAAGCCAGGGAGCCCTGGGCTGCGAAGCACCCAGGGGTGCCTCAGCCCGATGACCCCGAGCTGGGCGATAGAGATGTTGCCGCTACCTGGGGCTGCTGGTCTTCTCAAACTTCTTCAGGGAGAACGGAGAAGGATCATCGGGTCAGAGGGACCTCAGGCAAGGCACACCCGAGCACAGAGTCCTGGTGCATGGACAGGGCCCACGAAGTTCACACACAGCCATACAACCTGGAGCCACAGTGTGGACCAGCAGGGCATGATGGTGACATTGCATGTCACCCACTGGTTCCCAAACCGCCTTTCCAGACAGACCATGGGTGTATCCTCACCGTAGCCCAGCACCATGGACAGAGTGACGGGACAGCCCCTTCAACAGTGCTCGACTAAGTCACGTTCTTGCACTTAGCCTCGGCCCCCTCTGTGTCCTGCTCAGAACCACACGTAGTGTCGCTGCAGGCTGTCCCTGCCAGGACCTGTCTGCTAGGCCCGCTGCTAGCAGCCGCGCTGAGGATTAGCGGATGGATTCTGCTGGGGTGGAGGAGCCAAGCAGGGTCAGCACGGCTGCCCACTTGACCTCCGTTTCCTTTGTGTTAAGTGAAGGCCACGAGTGCAGAGAAACCCCTTTGGGTGGCCATGGTGCAGGTTGGATAGGGCTGGGCCCATCCACCCACCATCCCCGGGGGTGTGGGCGTCCTCGGCGCACGGTTCCCTGGGAAGAGAGAAAGCAATCTGCAGCTAGCGTTTAACAGCAGGGAGAGGAAGGAGGATAGCTCACAGCTGCGTGGAAGCTCCCGGGTGTCCACCTGTGTGCCCATGTGTGGAGCGCCTCCCGGTTCCTGCGGTGGCCCCCGTTCTGCCATCCCACGGCTTTGAGACCTTGAGACCAGGGGTCACTGCTGGGGGACCTGGCAAGTGAGTCTCCCTCTGGGTCCCAGGAGCATCATCAGCCAGGGGGCTGCCTGTGATGGATGGGTGCTGGTGATGAGTCTGTCCCCCGCAGCCCCCACTAAGTCTTGCACGGCTGCTGTCTCGACAGTGTCAGCTGGACTCCAAGTCTTCAGGAACAGGGAGGCCAGGAGTACTCGCGGGCTGGGGCACCCACTCTGTGCAGATCTGGGAAGGATTGGAAACCAGCTGGAGAGGGGTGCCTGAGCTTCCCTGCCTTGGGTCTCAGAGGGAATGTGGGTATTGACAGCCCTGGGGTTTCGGTGGCACCCAGGAAGGGACACAGGTTGCCTGATGCCACCGAGCAGCCATAAGCCCCAAGCCTTTCTAACCAACTCAGTGGAGCCAGATTCAAGTTTCTGCCGTCCCTGTGGCTGCTTCTGGGCTGACCCGATGTCCAGGGGCTTGTGAGGTACCGTGGAGGCAATATTTTTATTTATTTATTTTTAAAGATTTTATTTATTTATTTGACAGAGAGAGAGAACACAAGTAGGCAGAGTGTCAGGCAGATGGGGAAGGAGAAGCAGGCTACCCGCCGAGCAGGGAGCCCGACATGGGGCTCCATCCCAGGACACCAGGATCATGACCCAAGGGGAAGACAGCCGCTTAACTGACTGAGCCACCCAGGTGCCCCAGATGCAATATTTTTAAATGGCTTGACCTCCCATTTTAAAAATGTTGGGAGGCCCAGGGTACTCCATATGCAAATACCTCTGGGGGTGGGTTCTCAGGGGGCTTAGCTTTCTCCTTGTGCCTCCTTTCCCACCGCTGGGCCCCCTATGCTGGGCAGCTCCCCTATTCCTTCCCTCTCAGGGACCACCCGCACGAGACTGGGTGGAGTCACAGACTTTATGGAAGGTTGGGGTGCTGCAGGGTCCCTTTTTGTGCTTCCTCTCCTTGCTCTCCTTCTGCATGCCTCCCCCTTCCCCAAACTGGCCTTAGAAACCCACTTCCTCTGGATTTGTTAAAAACAGTCATTTCCCTTCTCCCCTGCCAGCTCCAGGCTGGTCAGAGGCTGAGCACGGTCTGGAGCCCAGAGACTGTCCTCACAGGCCACCCAGCAGCAGGACGGCAGGCTGTGCCAGCCCCGTGGCCCTCCTCTCCTCCCACAGCTTCCGTGGGAGCCCGGACTCCTGGAATTTGAATGGCGCGTTGCTGAGCCAAGTCTGAGGACAGCATCTCCCCAGAGACATCCACTGGGTCACCCAGCCTTGTCTGCAAAAGTGCTGGGGATGGGGACTCCCAGATCCCGAGCCCCCTTCCCTTTGGGGGTTCCTGCTCTGTGATGGTTCCGACCACAGGACCTTTGGCCCTCTCTGTCACCCCACGTAGGCTGCATGGGTTCACCTGAGGCCCAGGCCCCTCCGAGGGGTCCCCGCATGAGCTCATCAGGTCGGATGGGAAAGAAGAGGCGCCCGGCTCTCCCACTCAGCTGCTACCCGCCCGGGAGGCTCTCTGGCATCGGATCAAGCTAATTCATTGGGCGGCAGGCAGCTTGGATCCCAGAGCCACTGTCACATGGTGCCGTTAAGCTGCATCTCTCCTTGTCATAGTTTGCATAAATAATAATAATAATAAACCCTCCCACCTTCCTGCGAGACCAGAACGGTCGCAGGGACCGCTGACAGGGATCTGCAGGGAGAGGTCCGCACGTGGCCATTTCCTTCTCACCCGAGGCACCCAGGGCAGGGAAGGAGGGGAGCGCCACACTGGCTGATCGGGAGACCTGCAGGCTGGTGAGCAAAGGAAGGGCAAGGACAGGGCACCCCTTGGGGCCTGGATGCCCCCTGGGTGAGGGTGGACGGTGGGTGGCCTCACTCTTTGAGACAGGGGAGGGGAGGGCAGCTGTTTCTTCCCTGAGGGGCGGCTTGGGAGCCTCCCACTTTGTCCCTGGGCACTGCGCCCAGCACATTGGCACAGCCTGGGCTTCCCCAGCGACAAGGTTACGCCAAGGGGAGCTCTGGCTGCCTGTTGTCTGCTCTTGGGCTGCTGAGGCTCTGTTCGGCTAGAGTAAGCAGGTCAGGGGGCCACATTAGATCGGAGGGTACAATTGGAAATACCACACACCTTCCTGGAGGCCTGGGCGGGGGGAGCCCACCAGGAGGCAGAGGTTGGGGGGTGGGGAGACCTGTTTCTGGAAAGGGAGAGTGGGGGGCTCACAGTATCAGATGGGAATATCAGCCTCAAGGTCAGGACAAGGGCACATCTGGCATCCTGTCTGGGGCCTCCTTAGAGACAACGTGTCTGTTTTTCCCCATCGAGACACATCCTGGAGCAGCCGCCTGAGCCGTGGGGGGCTAGGTGCGGGACACTTCATGAGCTGGGGCGTGAGCCCGACCAGTGATGAACCCATAGCCAAAGGGAGCTGTTTAGCCTGAGTCCTGTCTGGGGGTCCAAGCATGCCTGGTCCCCTATCTGCTTAAAGGGACCCTGGGCTTTCCAGAGTGCTCATTGTGGGCTGGGCTCTGTCATCCTTAATCCACCTGCAGCCTTGCTACGACACTGAGCAGGGCCACCCTAACGCAGGAGTTAGTGTTTATTGTCGAGCTCCCTGCTGGCCCCTGTACCCTGTCATTGGGGCACCTAGCCCGACATGGTCGCTGGTGTCCCGGGCAAAGAGAATGAGGTGTTCAGGGAGGAACACCCCCTCCCCGTTTGCTCACTGCCAGTTCTCTGTGATGCACTAGAGTTTAGCATGTCTGCCTAAATGGATTTATGGATAATGCAGTCTGGTTTTAAACAAACAAATCCTCCAAAAACAAGTAGCTTCCAAAAGAGTCCCGTACAGAAATTGCAAATATGCAGATAATCCCTCCCTCCTCCCCCGGAAGCAAGCCCAGAAGTGGCAGCAAGGACATGTCCTCCCTCCTAACCCACCGTGCACACCTGATGAGAAACGAGCCCCAAATAACCAAAATAAACACAACCGAGCCAAGCTGCTGGGAAAGACTCCCCCTGAGTGACTGCTGCCTTGAGGCGCAACAGCAGCCGGAATCCTCGTGGACAGCAAAGGCATTTAAAAAAGAAGCTTCCTGAACATGGAGACAAACCCCCACAATTCTTCTTCCAGTGATGTTTAAAGTTAGGCGCTTTCAACTCAGTACTTTTCTGATATTTCCCTAAGCAATGATAAATATTTGGAAAGCTCTTTTAAAGTTTCTTGCATAATAGCACGAGACAAAAAAACAAAAAAAAAAAAACCAAAAAAACAAACAAACACCTACGCCCAGGCAAACACTTAGGGCTTTTTTTTTTCCTGCCGCAGTAAAAATGGCAGAAACAATGAATAGAAAATGATCTGTCGACAAACCGAAAGGCATTTCTTTGTCAGCAAATACTGTTGAAAGATGTAGAGAAAACACTACCACAGATTGGAAGGAAGTGTTAGCGCAAATTACCCAGTGTGGGAGGTTTGCTGCGCGGTTTCCACGTATCTCAGCTTAAGGTAACTGCTGGCTTCTGGTCTAATAATGAAATACACAAACCATTTGTGTGTGTGTGTGTGTGTGTGAGAGAGAGAGAGAGAGAGAGAGAGAGAGAAAGAGAGAGAGAAAGTCAGAAAAGGAAAGATAGAGCAGAACAGTGAATGCCTTGTTTAATAAGAACAATTGCAAACGGGGTGGGGGGAGTGTCAGGGAACCCCCGATGGAAGGGTTATCGGAGAAGGGTTTTTTAAAGGGTTCTGGATGAGGGAAAGATAGAGAGATAGCAGCACCTCCAAAACTCATGCACTGGTCCATCCAGCCAAACCACTGCAGGAAAGAACTAGAAGCTAGAGAGCAAAGAAAAGGCTGCAGGAACCCTCACTGGTATTAACTTTATAAAGTCAGGTTTGTTCTAATAGAGTAGAATCTTTATGATCCTTGGCAATAAGAGTGGGTGTGACCAGGAAAACTTCCAGACCACACAGAATGAATGAAACTTTATGACAAAGAATCGAAAAGGGCTGTCGTGAACCCCCCTCTCTTTCCTCGGAGCCTGCCCTCCTTAAAGGCTGAGGTGCTGGCATTTCCTGAGGACGCAAGAGCTATGGGTTTTAGGGATGCCTGGGTGGCTCAGTCGTTAAGCCTTCAGCTCAGGTCATGATCCCAGGGTTCTGGAATAGGGCCCCACATCGGACTCCCTGCTCAGTGGGAAGCCTGCTTCTCCCTCTCCCACTCCCCCTGCTTGTGTTCCCTCTCTTGCTGTCTCTCTCTATCAAATAAATAAATAAAAATCTTAAAAAAAAAAAAAAAGCTATCAGTTTTAGGCTCCCAGGAAAACTATTGGAAAAACAGACTCACCTTTGTTGCCTCTGCCTCTCCCAGGTAAAGACATTGAAACAAATGTTTGAAAATGTTTCCACATGGGGCTCCTGGGTGGCTCAGTGGATTAAGCCTCTATCTTCAGCTCAGGTCATGATCTCAGGGTCCTGGGATGGAGCCCCGCATGGAGCCCCACATGGGCTCTCTGCTCAGCAGGGAGCCTGCTTCCCCCTCTCTCTGCCTGTCTCTCTGCCTGCTTGTGATCTCTGTCAAATAAGTAAATAAAATCTTAAAAAAAAAAAATGTTTCCACGGACACACCACTTGTTGGTTAACAACGTGTTTGACCCACAAAACCTGCACATTAAAACAAGCAAACAAACTTGGAAGCAGAAACTGCTTTTTAAAAATGTAGATGTGATTTCCATGCCATAAAATTCACTCATTTAAAATGTACAATTCAGTGGTTTTTAGGATATTGAAAATGGTGCAGCCATTACCACTAGCTCTAGAATAACCTGTTTTTTAAACCTGTAGAGTTTTATATTTTAAAAAAAAATTCATTTTTTATTTTATTTTATTTTATTTATTTTTATGTTTTTTTAAAGATTTTATTTATTTATTTGACAGACAGAGATCACAAGTAGGCAGAGAGGCAGGCAGAGAGAGAAGAGGAACCAGGCTCCCTGCTGAGCAGAGAGCCTGATGCAATGCGGGGCTTGATCCCAGGACCCTGAGATCATGACCTGAGCTGAAGGCAGAGGCTTAACCCACTGAGCCACCCAGGCGCCCCCAAAATTTCATTTTTAAAAAAGTAACCTCTACCCCCCAATGTGGGATTTGAACTTATGACCAACAAATCAAGAGTTGCATACTCTACCCACTAAGTCAGCCAGGCACCCCTAGCCCTGTAGAGTTTTATTTATTTATTTTTAAAGTTACATTTATTTATTTGAGAGAGAGAGCAAGCATGAGCCGGGTGGAGGGGCAGAGAGAGAGAGGGAGAAGCAGACTCCCTGCTGAGCAGGGAGCCCGACTCCTGACTGGATCCCAGCACCCAGGGACCATGACCTGAGCTGAAGGCAGATACTTAAACTCAGGTGTCCCAACCTGTAGAGTTTAAAGCCCAAGAGTTTCCTTGGGCTTTGAACCCACTTATGAAACACACACATGTAGCACACACACATTGGTGTGTAAGACCAAGTCATTGACAACAGGGAAGACAGAAATACAGCAGCTGGGTTTTATCAAGTCCATGTATAACTGGTGGATGGAGTTTAAAAATGAGTATGATGGCTCGGGGAGCCTAGCTAATGATGCCCTTTTTCCATCCAGCTCCGATATTTTTGTGACAGCTACTAAGGTCCAGAATTGAAATAAACTGCCCTGAGGGCCATGCTTTCAAATCGATGTTTTATAGTGCAAAATCAAGATTTTAGTAAATAAGAATTGTAACAACTCAGTATGGTGACAGATGGTAACTAGACTTACTGTGGTGGCCATTTCTTACTGTACATATATATCGAATCACCACGTTGGATGCCCAAAACTAATACAATATTGTATGTCAATTATTCTTCAATTTTTAAAAAGATCTTAGTAAATAAGAAAGCATACTCAATCACATTGATATTTCTAGCGAGAGCAAATTTTTTTTTGCACCTTTGCAAATGTACAAATAAATTTGTAATTTTGTAAAATTTATTTAAAAATACAGGTGATTTCACTTTCATAAATTCTTTTCAATGTTCCAATAGGGTGGGTTAGATACTCTACAAGTACACCTATATTGGAGTGGGTGCTCCCGAATATTTTTGGATGGAGGTCAGAAGTGTTTGGAGTCTGCACCTCTCCTCTGGTTTTCCAGCTCCCACCTCTACCCCCTCCCCGCAAACAAAAAACAAAACAAAACAAAACAAAACAAAACTCTTATCCCTTAAAATAATCAGTGATATTTTCCAAGAGTCAGGTCATGTTATGCCCCTGCTCAAAGACTTCCAGTCACATACCACACTTTGGATAAAGTTCAAAATCCTCACCCACCTGCTCCTATCCTTCCTTATGTCTCAGGTTTTACCCCCTCCCCTACCCCACCCTAACTCTCTGATCCAGCTATAGGCCTGGACTAGCACTTGCCGATTGCTGCCTCAGGGCCTTTGCATGGCTGTTCCTCCTGCATGACTCAAGCCCTCACTTCCTTGTCCTCACTTCACTGCCTGCACCTCAGGCAGCCCCTCCCTGACCTCCTGATCTGAATTATCCACCCCATCCTCTCAGTCACAGACATCCTTCTGTGCTCCCACGTGCTAATGATTTTTCTTTCTAGAATGTATCACTACTGGCATTACACTGCACAATGGTTTATTTGATTATTGCTTTGTCTCTCTCAGTAGAATAGAGGCACGGGGAGGAGAGGGAATCTCCTCTCCTCACAGACCTGTGCCCAGCACCTAGATGGTCTCCCAGAGGGTACAAGGGTTGCTCCAGGACTGCCTGCTCTGCCTGCTCCTTGGGTCTCCCAGCCTGCAATGGGCACTGGGGCATGAACATCAGCAGCCAAGTGACTTGGGACAAGTCTCTCCATTCTGTGTCAGCGTCTCCTCTCTGTGTAATAGTACTGGGCCCCAGGAGGTGCACATGGTGGATGGTACCGCAACCCGGCCCCAGCAGTCTCCTCGGCCACCTTGCAGGGTCCCTTGCGGGTTGAGAGGAAGCCACAGTTTTCCGGGCACCCGGACATGCCCGAGTCCTCGACCCCAAGGTTCTGTGAAGACTGAGGCCAAGAAACGTGTGTGCTGCGGGGTCTGGTCGAGTCGTGGCCCTGTGGGGGACACCTCTGGCATGGTGCCCGCCTGGTCCTCGGGCAGGGCAACCTGCCGGGCAGAGTCTGGTGGTCGGAGCACCCCCGTCCTTACCCTGGCGTTGACGTTGGGGGATCGAGAACAGCCCACGAGGGGCCCGTGGGTGCCCCGGAAATCCGCCATTGCAGCCCGCTGGGGGCCGCGCGGCCCGCACCCGGGTGAAAGTCTGGGGGCGGGGCCCGCGCTGGGAAGGGAGGGCCTCCGGGGGTTGGGCCTAGGGCTGGGGGAGGGGCCGGGGTCTGGGGAAAGGCAGAGGGGGCGGGGTCCGGGGGCTCGGGGATCAGGGCGTGGCACCGGCCAGCAGCCCCAGCAGCAGCGCCCCTGCCAGCAGCGGCAGCGACAGAGGCGCACCGGCCGGGCCGGGGAGCGCGGCGTCGTTGGGGGAGGCCGAGGGCGGCAGGCCGCAGTCGGTGTAGGGCTCGAGGCAGGCGGCGAAGGCCATGACGTGCGCCACGAAGCTCTGCTCCTGCACGCCGTGCACCAGGTGCGCCTGCGGGCCGCGCGCGAACACTGCCACGTCTTCGCCGCCGTGAGTCTCGGAGTCAAGGGGCGCCACGGCCTGCTGCTTGTAAGTGGGGTCCCCTGGCCGGAGAGTGGGGCTTCAGGGCCGGCGGGGCGGGCGGCCTCCCCCTCCCGCGAGCTACCCACCATGCTGGCCCCTTGCCCCCCGCCGCCCAGGACCGCCCCGCCTCCCCGCGGCGCTCACTGCTCTGGCTGTCCTTGACGTTGGGCCGGGAGCTCCCCGTGAGCGCGTATAGGCCGCCGGGGCCGTTGCCGTAAAGGATGGAGGTGTAGGTCTTGTTGTCTAGGGCTATGCTGGGGGCCAGCCCTGCGGGGGGGAAGGGACCTGCTGAGCACCCCCACCGCAGTGAGGGCCCCCTGCGTGCCCAGCCCAGTCCTCACAAGGCCCCGACGAGGCGGTGGCTACTACCCCATTTGACAGGCCAGGAAACTGCGACTCGGAGCCATTTCTGCCATATAATCTGGGAAACAGCTCTGGCTACCGCAAACGGAACGCCCTGCCTACCGAAAATGGAGCTCCCTCGCAGTGTGTAGCCACCAAAAGAGAAGACGTGAGAGTGGTCAGCGGTGACAAGGGTCAGTGTGTCCTGCTCGCTTGTGATCTGGCTGGCCTTGTCGATGGCGGAATCAAACATGACCGCCTCGGTCAGTGCCAGAGAAGCCGTGCCGTCATGATGACCGTGGTCGATGCGGCCTCCTGCAAGCAGGGCACATGGAAGGCAGACAGTCCCCAGCCGCCCTGACCAGTCCCACTCCTCTGATCCGCAAGGGGCTGCCGCTCACCCTCCACGAAGAGGTAGAAGCCACGGGGGTTCCTGCTTAGCAGGCGCACTGCCACCTCTGTCATCTCCATCAGGGACGGGTCCTGGGTCGTGTTTCGGTAGATCTCATACTTTGTGTCTCCCGGCTCGAAGAGGCCTGTGGGAAAGGGGGACAGTGGTGACTGGCTGGGGAGTGGGGAGAGTCCATGGCCTGAACATCTGCATATCTTTGGCTTTCTGGGGACCAGGGAGGCAAGGGTGGGGACAGTGGGGGTACCTGGGGTCATTACCCATGAGATGTGTTACAGAGGGGTCCTGGGATGCCTCCATGAGCGCCGAGCGATTCCACACATACCGGGCACCCTGAGAGGGGCAGAACCGAGACTCAGTCCATAGCCCTCTGATCCTTGTCCCTGCTGTACCCCTCGCACCTCCAGGCCCCCATCACCTTGTACTTGGCCAGCCACTCCTGCACCAAGTTCCGCCCATCTGACCTGACTCCATTCTGTCTGGTGTCACTTGGATACTCAGGGTCTGGAGTCCCCTTGGGGAACATGTACTTTCGGCCTCCGCCCAGGATCACCTGTGGCCAAAGGATTGGGCAGGTGGGATTGGGCCCTGGCTGGCCCTTTGCTCCCTTCTCTGACAGCCCCTAGTGCCCTGACCAGGTCTGTGGGTATGGCCTGGGCCCAGCTGTACTTTCTCCACTACCACCCTCCTTCCCTAAGCCCCTGGAGACCCTGCCAGGCCCCAGAGCTCAGGCTGTCAGTGTCCGGGACTGTGGTCTCTATGGGCACCTCGCCTCCCACCCTTGCCCTTCATGTCCCACATCAATGTCCACGTTGGAGATGAGCTGCTGGGCGATGTCCTGGCATCCCTCCTTCCGCGCCTTGATGGGCATGTCGGTGTCTGAGTACCAGTTGCGGTTCACTACGTGGGCGTACGTGCCAGCTGGGGAGGCATGCTGCACTCTCGTGGTGGTCACCACCCCAACTGACTTCCCTGTGGGGGGCAGAGGTCAGCATGAGTCCCTGAGGTCTCCGATCCTGCCTCTGCCCATGAAGCTGGCCCTAAGCCCACCTGCTTTCTTGGCCCGCTTCATCACGGAAGTGACCTCATTGCCCCTCGTTGTGTTGCACTGGTTCAAACGGGCGGCTGCACTCACACCAATGGTCTGGTAGTTGGCCTTGACCCCGCACAGGTAGGCTGTGGCTGTGCCTGCGCTGTCTGGCACCTGTCTGTCCACGTTGTATGTCTGGGGACAGAGACGCCTTCAGGTTCTGACACCGACAGACGCCCAAGATCCTACCTAGGCCCCAGGGCCCACCCTCGCTGCCCTAGTGCCCCTAAATTCAGTCTCCAGATCTCCTGGGGCCTCCCCTCCTGCCACCTTCCCCACCCCCGCCCCTCTAGTGGCGGGCACCCTCAGGCCACCCAGCCCTTACCTTGGACAGAGCCAGGTACGGAAAGTGGTCCATGGCCAGGGGTGTCTCAGGTCCCAGTTTGCCATTTATTTGCCCCTTGAGGATCCTAGTGGCTGTCACTGTGGGCACCCCCATCCCTAAAGGAGCACACCTTGTCAGGGTTGGTCTGTGGCCACTTGCAGCTTGGGCTACAGGGACCACAGGCACGGCCAGCCTTGTGCACTCACCATCTCCCAAGAAGAGAATGAGGTTCTTAGCAGCTGTCTGGATGGGCTGCAGCTTCTTCGCGGTGTCCAGGGCCTGTGCCGCCTGGCGGTTCCAGAAGGCTGGGTCCTCCTCATCCACTGGCCAAGGGGGGAGGGGAGGCCAGGTCAGTCCTGGGGGAGGACTCTATGTGTGGGGGGCAGCTGGGAGGTTCTTCCTTACCTGGGATGATGGCGAGGGCCAGCCGTGGCTTCAGGCCCAGCAGCAGCAGCAGCACCCAGGCCCCCTGCATGTCTGTGGGGTGGCGGGAGGGCGGCAAAGCTAGGACTCCAGGCAGGCTGGAACCCCAGGAGGGCCAGAACTTGGGTACCAGCTGCAATACCAGCCACCTGGGCTTTAGTCTGGGCAGGACTTTGTCCCTGGCTGTAAAAGGCTCCATGTCCCTCCCATTGCCCCCGGTGGCCACCCTGGCCCTGCCCCGCAGGTGATGTGATGTCCGGCTGGCAGGAGGGAAGTGGCAGGGTGTGGCCAAGCAAGCCCAGGGGTAGGGGCCCTCGAGAAGGCAGATCTGTCCAGCACAGCAGAATCCTAGCTGTCACCCCAAGGTGGGGGGGGGCATTTGGGGCACATCCCCTTTTGGGGGAGGAGCGTTTGCCGTGTCCATCCCAACCCTTTGCTCACATAGTCTTGTGGGAGAACTGTCACTCCTACCTTTGCCCCATGTGTTCAGTCTTCCGAAAGTCCGCTTTGGGCAGGCTCCATGTGGGCGCTGGGGGAGCCTGAGCCAGGGGCCTGAGTCTGGCTTCCCAGTGCTGCGAGGCCCCGAGACATGGGAAAGGAGGCATATGGGATGGCCGGGCTTCTGACCAGCCTTGGCGGGGGCAGGTGGGGAAGATGTTGGGCTCAGAGCACACCTGGAGTCTGGACCTAGACTTCTTGGGCTGTGGAAAAGGCTGGGACTTTTGTGGTGACAGAGCAGATCCATGCCTGTGTGTCCAGTTACTGGAGCCAGGCCGGCCTCATAGGGCGCATGTGTGTGCACGCACGTGCATGTGTGTGGGGGGTGGGGTGGGGCCCAGCGTACTGATGTTGATCTCTGCTCCCTCGGACAGGCAGCTGGAAACCAGGGTTGAGTCTTTTCTCTCCAGGGCCCACGCATACCCGCAGGTGTAGCTTCTGTTAGGGAGTTAAGAGGTTTCAGTAGCCAGGCTGGTTCAAAAGCCTTCCTCCAATCCCTCCATCGCATCTTTTGGGCGTCTATCCAAAAAAATTCAAAGCAAGTTCTGGAAGAGATATTTGCACCCTCATGTTCATAGTAGCGCTGTTCACAGGATCCATAATGGGCAGGCAACCCAAGTGTCCCTCACCAGATGAATGTATAACTAAGATGTGATATAATGGAACCAAGATCCATGTGATGGAATGTTCTGTAGCCTTAAAAAGGGAGGGAATCCTGTCACGTGCTACACCATGGATGAACCCCGAGGACATGATGCTAAGGGAAATAAGCCAGTCACAGAAGAACAAAGGCTGGGGGACTCTCCTTAAACTAGGTATCTGAAGCTGTCCAATGCTCAGGACTAGCTGCCAGGGGCCAGGAAGAGGGGGGTGTTCGGTGGGGACAGAGTTTCAGTTTTGAAGCTGGAAATGTTCCGGAGATCTGCTGTACAACAGCGTGAATATGCTTCCCTGTACCAAACCAGACACAAAATGATTATGACGGTAACTTTTATGTTGTGCTTAAAAGATTCAGAGAAGAAAAACCTTCCTCCCCACTCTGCCCACCCCAGCGGACCATGTGGCTCTGGTTTGTTCTTTGGCCTCCCGACCACCTGAGCCACGTGTTTGGTCCCCAAAACCAGGTGACTGCCCTGGCCCCCCATCGTCTCCCTGCCCAGGCCTGCTCTGCTCAGGCAGACCTGCCTTTCCACCAGCTTGCCAACCACACTGACCCGGCTGTCCTCCAAATCTGGGGAGAGATAGATATCCTTCCCGGCCTCTGACTTGTCCCCATAGACCCTTCTGTCCCCTGTATTATCTTGCTGTGTTAGGGAAATTCTTGGCTAAAGGTCAGGGGAGACTAACTTCTGGGCAGGTCCTTAATTAATTAATTGGTTCTTTCTACCAGGCAGTAGGTGAAAGGTTTGTTGCTCCAAGATAAGTCTTCCTTCCAATAAGTTCCCCATACCCTTTCTCAACAGGATTTTTTTTTTTTAGAGAGGGAGGGAGATAGAGCAAGAGAACTTCTTGTGCAAGTGGAGGGGGAGAGGCAGAGGGAGAGAGAGAATCTTAAGCGGGCTCCACCCCCAGTGCCAAGCCCCACTGGTTTGGGGGGGCAGTGCTCTATCTCACAACTCTGATATCATGACCTGAGCCGAAACTAAGAGACGCTTAACCGACTGAGCCACCCCGGTGCCCTCTCCCATACCCTTTTTTAACTGGAATTTTTGACATAAGTTAGAGACTCACATGCAGTTTAAGAAATAATACAGAGATCCCTCCCTGTAGGCTGCCCAATTTCCCCCAATGGTACAAGCCATAGATTTTCCACGATTTGGATATGCTCCCGTTCACATGTACTCATTCCCCTGGGTATGTAGGTTCTACACTCTCTCGTCACGTGCGTGGGTTCACAAACACCGCTGCTGGTGAGATGCCGAAGAGCTCCAACCCCACAGACTGGAACAGACGCTTTTTAACCGCCCCCCCTCCCTGCCACACTCCTGCTCCGTCCTCTAGGCCCTTTCCTGCATTTCTAAAACGTTGTCATTTCAAGTAAGTTACATAAATGGAATCCTGAAGTCTTTGGGGGTTGAGTTGTTTTTGTTTTTGTTTTTTCAACTCAGCAAAATTTCCTGGAAATTCATCCCAACATATTCATTCAGGCTTTTTTGGGGGGACATGTGGTTTCATTTCTCCGGAGTACACGCCAGGAGTGCGGCTGCTGGCGCTCCTCACGGTGACACGAAGAAAACACGAAGTGGTTTCTTGTGAATTTTTTTGTGTGCCTGTGTGGGACTGGAGGCCAACCCGCCCCCCCACCAACCCCCCCACCCCTCCCCGGATCACTGGCAGTCATCGAAGTCTGTTTGTTCACATTCGCAGCCTGCAGCCCTGACACAGCTGCGTGGGGCCACGGGGCGTGGGGGGGGGGACGACTCTGCCCCGAGCCAGTCAGGTGCCGGTGGGCGTGAGTCACCTGTGATGACATCGGTTGTAGTCCTTCCTCTGGGGCCCAGGATTACAAGTCAGCTGGCAGCAAGTGTGTCCTGGTGTGGAGTGAGAGATAATGCCTCTGGGGAAACTGTCATCCCACTTCAGGGGACGCTTGGCTCTGTGATGCCCGCGGTCTGCATGGCCTGGTCTCACTGCCCCCTGGGAAGGAAGGGGTTGTCCTGTGGGGCCCCATCTGGAGCCCCAGCACCCTCCACTGCTGTCCTCGTTTACCACTGGAGGCTGTCCGGGCGGTGTCCCAGCCCCCCGCGCGGGGCACATGTCAACCGGGCGAGGGGCAGGGTGATGGGGAACCCTCCTTCGTAGCAGCTGCTGCCAACCCACGGAGGGATGGCTGCTTGCTGCCTCCTGCCCTCCTGATCTCACGACGACAACACCCTCCCTACCCCTTGGGAAATGTAGTGACAGCCCTGATCATTCCCAGGAGCTGGGAACGACTGTCAATCTCCCAAAGACCACATAGTGGGGAACCCTTCGGGGAAACGGAGGCATCTCTTTCTAATGGGCCAGTTTCTCTCATGTGAGCCTCCCACCAGCCCTGAAGAAATAGTAGGAGTGTCCCTACTCCGGCTGGGATGCAGGAAGCAAACATGGTTGGACTTTGCCCTCTCTCTCTGCACTGGCAGACCTCCTCGGATGTGGGGGGGTACCACGCCTCCTGAAGGCCCATGGGGGTCTGGCAGGCAGGTGGGCAGGCCCAGGGGAGCAGTGGGGGCAGAGCTGTTATCTCAGCCCCACTCAGCCTCCTGGCAGTGCTTGACCTTCCCTGTATTTTTCTTTCTTTCCCTCTTTCTTTCTTTCTTTCTTTCTTTCTTTCTTTCTTTCTTTCTTTCT